CCTGACTGCTCCTCCCCAGCGTGTCTGTGGGCCTCTGTCGGCCCCTGGGGTACAGACTCCCCCACAGAGGGCCTCCTCCTCAGTCCTTTTCTCCCCTCACACCTCCTGGGTCCCCAGGTAGCTTTTTCTATTCCTATGACCACAACTGCCACCTTATAGGCCAATGAAATCCAAGTTCTCCAGGTGAGATGCTCTCCAGAGCTCCAGACCCACTTGGGGATCCTGGCTGCCCCCAAGGCTGGCATTACCCTCCCATGGGGGGACCCAATTCAGCAATCTCAGTCCATCTGGGTTCCCCTCTGACCCCATGCAGCAGGTTGAATGGTGGCTCCCCAAAGAGATGCCCCCTCGTTACAGCAAATATGACCTTATTTGGGAAAAAAGAACCTTTGCAGGTGTAATAAGTTAACGATCTCAAGAGGAGATTATCCTGGATTAGGGTGGGCCCTAAATTCAATGACAAGAGTCCTTAGAAGAGAAGGGAGGGAGAGAAGACAGATGACACACAGGAGAAGCCACGTGAAGATGGAGACAGAGACTGGAGTGATGCAGTCACAAGCCAAGGGGTGCCTGGAGCTACAAGAAGCCGTTAGGGGCCAGGAAGGATTCTCCTCGAGAGCCCTCGGAGGGAACGCAGCCCCACCCACACCTCCATATCAGACGTCTGGCGTCCAGAACTGAGCCTACATTGTGATGCTCTGAGCCCCCAGCTGGTGGCGCTTGTCCAGCAGCTGCAGGAAGCTGGCGCAGCCCCCAGGGAAGAACCATGTTCTGCTCTCTGCGCCCAGTGAGATCCTGCCAGTGCCTGGCGTGTCCTGTGCACTCAAAACCCAAAGTCATTTGGGCCTCACGAGAACCCTGTGAGGTAGGCGCTGTTGCGATGGTGGCAGGTGGGAACAGTTAGGCACAAGCAGTCCAGAAACTTCCCTGGGTCACACAGGGAGGTGGGGCTGGATCCAGGGGCAGGCAGGCTGGCGGAGGGCCCTGCTCATACCTCCCAGAGCTCTTAACTGGGGACCTGGGGGCCACGGATGGAGTGGGGGGCGCCGTGGACTGGGATGAGAAAAACAAATCTTTATTTTCACGGGCTGCCGACTGAAATTTAGCCTTTGCTTCCACTCGACGTGGAGGCCACAGCCCCCGGTTGTCTGAGCAGTGACTGTGGCTTTAAGAGCAGAACCACAGGTGTCTCCGTCCCCACCTCAGTGGTTTTACCCTGAAGTGTCGCCTATGGTCACTGGGAGTTTGAAAGCACTGTCGTCCTCTGGCCAGCCCTCATCCTGCTATTGAATGCATTGATGGAGAAACACGTAGATTCAGTCTGATGTCGCAATCTGTGTGACATCATTTGATTTCACATTTCGTCTGGTTTTCTCTCCTGAGATGCTATTTGGCAGCATCTCAGCACCCTGCTTTCTCTGTGACCCTGGGGGCTTCAGCTTCCGTGCTTGAGAACACCGTCCCAAGAAGGGCTCTGGGCACAGTGCTGAGGCCGCAGGGCTGAGCTGCCAGCTGTGCTGGAGGCCCCCGCTGCTCACCTCATGATGGCCTTTCCGCCCCACGAATCCTGTGCCAAAGCACCTGCCCTCTGTCTCCATCCCAGGGCCTTGGCATCTGCAGCCTTCATTACTGCCAGAAACAGCCTCTCGCAGGGCCCCTGCCGCCATCGCCACCAGCCACCCCAGGGCGGTGGGGGTCTCCCTACAGCCCAGCACTGGCCCTCGCATTCTGCGGCTGCCCCTGCCTCCGGAGCGTGTCAGTCTCCCCAGCCTGGCAGACGGGCCCTCTGTCATGTGGTGTCTGGTCCCTCCCAGGCCCCCGTCCAGCCGCCTGAATGCCTGCCGCCCGTCTCAGTGCTCCTCCTTCCTGCCGCGGTGCTCCTCCTGTTCTGGGGGCCTCGCGCAGTCTCAGCGGTGGAGGGGCGGCTCCCTGGACCGTCCAGCCCCTGGCAGGGAGCTCATCATGTGGGCCTGGAGTCGTCCTCCTGCGCCTGTGCAGGCCTCTCCCCTAGGCTGGGAGCCCCTGACGCCAGGATTTGGTCTCGTTCCCCCCAGGTCTGCCTCCAGCACACAGCTCCTCCGCCCCCCGGCACAGCTCCTCTACCCCCACCAGCATTTGCACGTGTTGTTCCCTCACCTGGAACACCCATCCCCCACCATGACTCTGAAACACATGTTTTCTTCTTAAGTGCTGGGTGGGCATCTCTGATCCTGACCGAGCGCTCATGCATCAACTCCATGACGACGCGTCACCTCAGTCTCACAGAACCAAGGCTCAGAGAGGTGAAGCAACTTGCTCAAGGTCACACAGTGAGTGAGGGATGGAACCAGGGGCTGCCTCCATAGCCTGCACCACCACCGCAGTCTACCGCCAGGCCCCGCCTCGGGAAGCCTTCCTTGCCCGTCGCACCCCAGGCTGAGCTGTGTTGCCACCCTGCACTGAGATTAATTTATCATTTGCACGAGTCTTGTGCATTGTCTGTCTCTCCCCTCAGACTGTGACGTCCATGGGACAGGAACAGGATCTGCCCTGCTCTTGCTGCCTCCCTCATGCACAGCAAGCCCTCCACAGTTACGCATCAAATGAGGGAAGGCCACTCTGAGAGGCATGCGTGAGGGCCCTGGAGCAGGTTGAGTGGGGCCTTGTGGGGGGATGAGTGGGGGGACGGCAGGATTCGAGGAGCCCATAAGAGGGCAGGGGACAGATCAGCTCCACCACTGTGTGCAGCCAGATGTGGCCTGGCCACATAGTGCCCTCCAGTCCCCTCAAACAGGTCCACACCTGGTCCCTCCTCTGGGCATGTGGCCCTGGTGCTTCCTGTTTACAATCGACCTCAAATCCCGCTTCTGCCCCAGCGGCACCCGGAAGCGTCAGAGGAGAGAGCACGGCGGACCTAGGCCCCGGAGCTCCAGCGAGTCTCAGGCAGGGGCAGCGTGCAAGACCGCCACCAAGTCACCGAGGCCCGGGAGGGCCCATGATGTCCCCTGGCCCTCCCTGATACAAGTGGGACAGCTGATGCTGGCTCCCCAACATGTCCTTACAACCCCCATCCACACTTCCTGGGCGATCCATCCCTGGTGCCAAGATGAGGCTCCCAGCTTCTACCCAGCGCCCTCCAGGGCTGGGGCTTGGCTATGGTCACAAATCAGAATAGCTAACCATCTCCCATGGGCAGCAGGTCACCCTCAGGGGGTGACAATCCCATGGACACCACTCTGGGACTTTTGCTCTTGCAGCGTGAACAAACTTTGAAACCTACAGACTGGCCCGAGTCCCAGCTCAGCCACGCACCCAGTGTGCAACCCTCAGCTTGTCATGTCAAATTTTGAGACTTGGTTTCTTGACCTGTAAAGTAGGTAGGATTGATCTGAAGAGGAATCTATTGCATCAGAGGTGAGAAAGGTTCTGGGTTTGGCTGGAAGGATCAAAGGTGTCGCAGACTGCAGGGCAGGCACGGGATCACCAGTGGGAGGAGCAGGTGTGCCCCCACTTTGTGGCTCAGTTCGTCGCTCCCTCTGTGTCCGCACCCTCTGCGTGGGAATGTGCTGTTCCTTCCTCCCTCCCTCCCTCTCTCTCTGCTGTTCTAGATTACAACTCAACATGGCGACAAATTCTTTGCCTCTCCACCCACCAAGAGGCAGCGTCTGTTTCTCCTCCTTGAACCTGGCTGGCTTTGCAATTTGAGTAATAGAAGGCAGCAGCGATGGTGTAATGCAAGCTCCCAGCCCCTGCGTCCCGAGGCCTTGTGTATTTCTACCTCTTACACTCCTGCCGTCGTCACAAGAAGGACATGCCTTCCCAGCCCGCTGGACCCGGGAGGAGGCTGAGAGACACATGGAGCGGAGCCACCTCTGGCTGAGCTAGCCGAAGACAGCTGGCCCCAGCCAAACCCCAGGCTCCCGAGGAATAAGCCGCCGAATCTGGAGGCTGTTTGTGAAGCAGCAGCAGCTCACGGACAAGACAGCAGACGAGAGTGAGAGACAACAGTCCAACCAAGCAGAATTTGGGGATGGGCAACCTCCCTCATCAGGGCACACGAGGCTCGCCCTTGGGCATCTTGGCACTAGGGCCCGGCCACCTGGAAAGGATGCTATCATGAGGCAGTCACGGCAAAGGGAAGAGATCAATCCGCATGCTGGGAGCTTCAGCCTCTTGTCTCTCCACTGACAGGCCAAGGGCAGCGTCATAACATCTCAAGTGTTTACGGATCCACATGGCAGCCCCTCCCGACCTTCCTGACAACACAGAGCAGGTCAGCCAAGAAGTGTCTTCTGGGAGGATAATTAGATCATGTTCAGTGCTTGGCGCTTTAGCAGATGCCCAGTTCAAGGAACCTTTCCCACCGTATCCAACGCAGCCAATCCCCACCATCAGCTTTTTTTTTTTTAAAGATTGGCACCTGAACTAACAACTGTGGCCGATCTTCTTTTTTTTCTTTTCCTTCTTCTTCTCCCTAAAGCCCCCAGTACATAGTTGTATATTCTAGTTGTGTGTCCTTCCAGTTGTGGCATGTGAGATGCCACCTCAGCATGGCCTGATGAGTGGTGCCATGTCTGCGCCCAGGATCTGAACCGGCGAAACCCTGGACGGTGAGCGAACTTAACCACTCGGCCACGGGGCCGGCCCCCATCAGCTTTTGTGTAATACTTCTTCCTTCTCATCCTTAGGAAGTCTCCTTTGCCTCTGAATGGAATAAGAGGTCTTGCTCACAAGGCCAGTCCTGCCGGTTACTCGCTGCCCTGTGTCTTAAGAACTCATTCAGCCTCCATGATAAGGCTCCCAACCTCAGGTCTTTCCTCCTCCTGCTTCCTTCCTGCCCACAGACTTCTGGATAATTTGTCTAAATTTTTTTCTCTTCCGTGATGACCCTGCTGGCTTCTGGCCATCTGCCTGGACTCTGGACTTCCCGCTTTGCAGACCCTTGTTATTTAGGCCCGGTGTCTGGCTTTCCCCGCAGTCTGACCCTCAGACACTGTGCAAGCCAGCCGCAGGTGACTTACCTGGACCTGCCTCCGAGCCTCTGTGCTCTGGTCCCTGGTACCTTCCCAAGCCGTCTGACCTGGTTTCAAGCTGGCCCGGCCGCTGCCTCCTGAGCTCCGGGGGCGGGTGCATGAGGCTCTTGAGCTTGTTCTCACAGAAGAACGTGCACTGCTTGGGGTGGCGTCCGCAGATGGAGGCGCAGCTGACACAGTCCCTCAACAGCTGGTCGTAGTACCTGCCTTGCTCCTTGAGGCAACTCAGTGACTCTAGGAAACAGAAACAAGTGATGGCACTGGGTGACCGAGACCGCGGGAGCTGCGGGTCTGGCCTCAAAGGGCATCAAAGTGAAAAAAAAAATCACAATCCGGTTCCCCAAGAGCAATTCCCAGATAATCCAGGTCCTTTTCCAATTCGCAAATGTAAGGCTGTGCTGTGTCCCCTAAGTGCTGGTTGTTAGCTGCATTACACACATTTTGATATGTAGTATTTTTTCCTATATCTAGTTTAAAGTGTTTTTACTTTTCATCATTATTTCTTCCTAGACCTATAGCTTATTTAAAAGTGCATTTCTTAGTTTCTAAACATATAAGGATTGTCTCTTTATCTTTTAAATTAGGTTAGCACATCATCAAATAAGTTCTTGCAGTTTTCAAACTTCAAAAAGGAGAAGCGCATTTCATGTGACGTAAGGGTCAGAGGGGCAGGAAGGTCGGAAAGCTCGAATGAAGTGTTTCTTATGTCTTAATGAAGGAGAATTGTGGGAGCTTAACCAGGTGTCCGCGCCAAGGAGCAGCAGGCCCGCGAGCCGAAGCCCACCCGGCCCGCTGGCCTCGGCAGAGCTCCTGGGATGCAGGCGGGGTCTGCGCTCTGCGGGCATGGCTCCTCGTCACTCGTCTTTACAATCAGACTTTCTCTACATGCACCTGTGACGCATGCAGCAGGTGTGAGGGGTGCATTGCAGAGGCGGCGCGAGGCAGAGGTTAAGGGCACAGACTGCAAGGCCCCACAGCCCAGGGGGCCTTCCTTGCTGCACCACCTGCAGGTTGTGAGGGCTACACCTGTCGGTGCTTCAGTTTCCTCATGCCCAAGAAAGAAATAACAGTAATAGTGACTTCTTAAGGTCGTGAGGATTTGAAGTCCCCAGCACAGGGCCTGACACATCATAAAAAATGCTCCGTTAAGCGAAGGTTTGAGAATACTCATTTTAGCCTCTTTGCAAGGCAAACACACCAACACTGACGTGCCTGACAGAGGAAAGGAAAAGACCAGAAAGATGGTGGAATTGGGACCTCAGGGCAGACTCAGATGGCCCCATCGCCTCCGTTGCCGTGGCGCCGCCTGGCCCCGGGTTCCACTGAGCCACATGAGACGTCATGAGCCTGCTGGCGATGGTATTCCTGGGTTCCCTGTGAGCTCCGCCCCTCCTCAGGGACCCTAGTGTGGCTGTTGCAGGTGGTGCCTGAGCTCCCTCACTGTCTGGCTGCACGACCTCCCCTGTGGGCCTTGACATTCCTGAGTGTTTCCCCACCTCCAGGCCTTTGCCCACACTAGTCCCTCTTTCCGTCATCGGGCTGCCACACCTACGCACTCTTCACGACCCATCTCAGGGGCTGCTTCCTCCAGGAAGACATCTCTGCTCTCCAGCCCATCAGCTGGAGGCAGTCTCACCCAGCTGTGTGGCGTTTTATGTACTGTACTTTCTACCTCAAAATGTAGTCATTTCTCCCATTAAATGAAAGCCTCTTTGAAGGGTCATTTTAAGGGGATGGAAGGTTCCATGAACATTTGTGCAATGACACAATCAATGTTCTACTTCATTAATGGATAATGGTGTTTTGGAGAATCATGTTTTGGAGTCCTGGCTCAAATCCTAACTTTCCCTCTATTATGCTGTGCGATCTTGGGCAGGTCACTCAGCCTCTCTGAGCTCCACTCGCCACAAACAGTATTTGCGAAGCACTTCCTATGTGTCAGGCACTGTGCTGGGCCTGAGGAGCTCACAGAGACAGACATGAAACAGACACACATGAAAGAACACAACACAAACTGTCATATGTTCCATCAAGGAAAAGAACGAATATGAGAAAGAGCAGCAAGCAAAAGATATTTTTCAAGATAATCAGAGAAAATTAGATTTGTCCTGAATCCAGACGATGTTGAGGAATTGCTGCCTGAGGTGCTAAGATGTCGAGGTTCGATTTCAGAGGCCCTTGTGTGTTCGGGATTCATGATCTAGTTTTTACAGGTGAAATATATGAGTTCTTGGATTTGCTTTAAACAAGCAAAAAATTTGGTTGGGGAATAGCAAGGCGGAAGTTTTAAAGCTGACGATGGGGAGTCAGGGGTCTGTTATGCTGTCCTCTCCATGCTTGATAATTTCTATAAGAAAAAGTTCAAAAAGAAAGTAAGAACAGAGGATGACAAAGCTGGGCCGAACTTCTGTTGGCCAGTCAGAGAAGACCTCTGACACTCGGGCTGAGTCCCGAAGGTTAGGTAGCAGGGAGCAGAGGGTTCAACCTGGCAAAGGCCCTGAGGCACGAAAGAATACAGCATGTTCAAGAAACTGCAAGGAGGCCCGTGTGGCCAGAGCAGAAAGATCAAGGGGTAAAGGGTGCCACGTGGTACATCTCCTCCCATCACGCCATCCTCAGGCCCCAGGCGCAGTGGGCCAGAAGGACCACTGTAGGGGAAAGCAGGGGCTGAGCCGGCCGTCCCCCGGCCCGGGCCCGGAACTCACTGCAGAAGGCTGCACAGGCGCGCGGAGTCTGATGGCTGCAGATGGGTCTGCAGGAGAGGCAGGCGTTCAGCAGGGGGTCCCAGTACTGCTCTTCGGGGCAGGATGGCATGGCCGCCCCCGGCCGCAGGCCCTGTGGAGCTGAGAGGCAAGGAGCATGAGGGCAGCTGGCACCCACTGGAGGCTGGAACCCGGGTGGCCTCTCCTGCTCACCTTCCCACTCTCTGTCTCAGCAAGCAGAGGGGGAACCACACAAAGCTGGCTTCCAATCCCGGCTGCACTTGCTGGGTGACTTGGGGCAGCCACGTCACCTCCCTGAGCTTCAGTTTCCCCATCTGTGAAACGGCCATTCTGAGGCCCCTCCCTCGTGTCAGTGCCCCCGTGGCCCTGTTCTCAGCCTTCTTTAATGGGCCACACCTCTTCCCACCACAGGATCTTGGCACATGCTGTTCCCTTTGCATAAAATGATCTTCTTCCCTGTCCTCAGTTGGTTACTTCCTCCTCATCCTTTGGACCTCTGATTCAGCTTCGTTCCCTCAGGGAGACTTTCTGACTCTCCCCAAGACAGGACACTGCCCTGCTCTGCACACTGATGCGCCCGTTCCTTGTCATTCCGCCTCTCTGTGAGCGCTGGTGCCAGCGCCCCCACCACGAGCACTGTGCAGGCAGAGACTTGAATGTTTGTTTGCTGCTGGGCCCCGAGAGCCCGGATCGTGCCCAGGACACAGCAGGTGCTCATGAAATGAGTGAACAAAGAGAAAAGCAGATGGAGCCCGTGCCCAGCATACTGCAAGCACTCAATAATGTCAACTTCCTTCCCTTTTCCTTTTCACCGAGGGATGAGACACCCCCAATGTAGGGACACAAATCCTAAGTGTGCGCTTGTTGAGTTTTTCTGTACGTCTACACCTGTTGCCCCCACCCACACCAAGGTATAGATTTCCGGCCCCCGGAAGACGCTCTGGGGTCCCCTCCCATCTGACGTCCACTCCCAGAGCTAACTTTCGTTGTGACTTTTACACCGTCGGTTGTTCACGTTGCCCCTTCCTGGACTTTGGTGTCTGGTGTCACTGGCTCCACAAGACCCCTGAGCCCCTGAGGAGGCTCCTTTGTGCTGCTGAGCCTCTCGTGTGAATGCATCACCTCTTCTAGGATGTTCTGTCTGATTTCAGCACCGTTGCTCCCCCAACGACTTCTTGTAAACATTCTGCACGGCATTTGTTTATTCTTGAATGAAACTGCCTGAGAAGAGGCCAGTGGCTCCTGGTTTAACACAGCGGCTTAAACACACGAGCTTATGTTCCTTCCCCCTTGAAATCCTACTAAAAGGACAGAAAAGGAAGTTTATCCTCAAAGATAAAGAGAATGGAATAAGTTACCCCAGCAGGGGACAGACGTCAGCAACATTTTGGAAGATGTTTGGTGGACACACTGGGGTGACTGACCTCAGTTTAAGATCTCTGATGCCCATCGGGGAAGGAAGCTGATCTGAGCCACAGCCCCCCAGGAAGATTCTGGAATTGGGGGCACCAGTGTCTCCGACAGTGGGGGAAGGGAGGGCAAAGCAACGGTAGCTGGAAATTTATAGAAAGAGGGCTTGAGCCCAGCCAGATCGCCATGCCCAGGCAGGTGACGGCCCCTCGCCCATCCAAGCAGAAGACTTGGGGTCTCCTCAGGCACAGCTGAGTGCTGTGGCTCCGCGTTTAACAATGTCTCCTTCCTCCTCCTGCAACTGGCAGGAAATCATCAGCCTCTGCTCCGGGAAGCCCAACTCAGAGGAAGAGACCTGGAGGCACAGACTGCGAGATTCTCTCAAGAAAATGAGAAGGCGCTGCCTGACCACAGGGCAAAGCTTCTACTTTAACAACGCTGTCCGTTTACCCAGAACTGCCAATCGGCTGGTAGTGCGTCACTCTGAGCGGGGAACCACAGCCGAGAGCGCCCCAGGCAGGAGCCCCGCCTCCGGATGACAGACAGCTCAAAGGAGGCGGGCCGAGAAGCCTCGTGCGAGCCGCAAAGACAAGTGAGAATTACTAGAAATTAGAAATATGATAGCCAGAATAAAACATCAGTAGAAGGGTTGTAAGTTGTAATTGAAGACATTTCCCAGAAAATAGGGAGAGAAAAGATATGAAAATTATTGTATCATTTCAGGAGGTCCAAAGATTAACTCATGGGAGTTCCAGAAAAAACAGATTTGACGGACATTAGCTTCCAGATTCAAAGAGCCCATCAGGCGTCTGGCACAATAAATTCTAACAAACCAAGACCCATCGTCACGAAACTGAGCAGCACCGGGGACGAAGAGCAGATTCTCAAACCTTCTTGAGAACAAGCAGGTTACCACAGAGCGTTGCCAGTCAGGAAGTCCGTGAGCATCTCAAAGCAAAGCTGGGATGTGAGGAGAGCGATGTCAGGGAAGACAGAGCAGGAAGCGCCAGGAGTCTGCCCTCCCGCTCAACAGCACCGGCCGGCAGCCACTGTCTGCAGTCACTATTTTGGAACTCTGGAGTTGTCCGGAGGAGAGCTGGATGGAGAGCTGGTAATGTTCAGGAATTTCAGTGCATTTTCAGCCTATCCCATCATGGCGGATACCACTCTCCAGCCCCCAGCTGCACGTAGGCAGCACTGGAGACAAACGCCCACGTTCCTCATGTAACTTGTTGGAGCCTGGATGGGCAATAAGGCACTCAAACTCCAAATAATGGGATTGTGAATTCTGATTGCTTATTCCTACTTTTTCTTTCTTTCTTTTTTTTTTTTTGAGGAAGATTAGCCCTGAGCTAACATCTGCCACCAATCCCCCTCTTTTTGCTGAGGAAGACTGGCCCTGAGCTAACATCCATGCCCATCTTCCTCTACTTTATATGTGGGACGCCTACCACAGCATGGTTGCCAAGCAGTGCCATGTCTGCACCCAGGGTCTGAACTGGCGAACCCCGGGCTGCCCAAGCGGAACGTACGCACTTAACTGCTGCACCATGGGGCGGCCCCTCTTATTGCTGCTTTTGATCACTGAGAGACCAGACCAGAGGCTGGTGGCCATTGTTTCAACCTCCAAGGGCTGATGTGGGTTCCAGGGATTTAAAGAGACAGACACTACTTCCCCCCACTTTTGAGAGACAGACATTTAAGGAAATCTTCGTCAGGTCACTGGCTGGCTGCAGAGATAAAGGAACAGAAACTTCAGTGACCACACAAGAGGAATACATACTTTGCAAAAACAATTTGGGAAAGTCACAAACAGACTCCAGCCCTCAACAGGCAAGACCCAGCAATCTCTGAGGGGGGAGAATCAGGTTCCCAGAGTTACCACAAAGTAATACTCAAAATATCCAGTTCTCAAAAAATTTATGAAACGTACAGAGAAACAGGAAAATATGGCACATTCCCAGAAAAAAATAATTTGATAGAAACCATCCCTGAGGAAGCCCAGACATTGGAAATATTGGTCAAAGATGTTAAATCAACTGTTTAAAATATGTCCAATGAGCTAAAGAAAACCATGGACAAAGAACTAAAGGAAAGCAGTAAAATTATGTATGAGCAAAAGGAGAATATGAATAAAGAGATAGAAGTTGTCAAAAAGGAATCAAAACCTGGAAGCAACCTGGGGCCGGCCCGATGGCACAGTGGTTAATTTCACACGTTCCATTTTGGTGGCCCAGGGTTTGCTGGTTCGGATCCCAGGTGCGGACATGGCACTTCTTGTCAAGCCAGGCTGTGGCAAGCATCCCACATATAAAGTAGAGGAAGATGGGCATAGATGTTAGCTCAGGGCCAGTCTTCCTCAGCAAAAAAGAGGGGGATTGGCAGCAGATGTTAGCTCAGGGCCAATCCTCCTGAAAAAAAAAGAGAGAGTGAGAGAAACCTGGAAGCAGCCAAAGTTTCCTTCAGTAGGTGAATAGATAAATAAACTGTGGTACATCCACACAATGGCATATTATTCAGCACCAAAAATAAATGAGCTATCAAGGCATGAAAAGACATGGAGGACACTTAAATGCATATTGCTGACTGAAAGAAGCCCAGCTGAAAAGGCTACTGTATGATCTCAACTGTGTGACATCCTGAAAGCAAACTATGGAAACAGTAGAAAGATCAGTCGTTGTCAGCGGTTGGGGAAGGAGAGAGAAAGGAAGAGCATGGAGGATTTTATAGGGCAGTGAGACTATTCTGGGTGATATTATCATGGTGCATACCTGTCATTACACATTTGTCAAATCCCATAGAATGTACACCACCAAGAGTGAATCCTAATGAAAACTGTGGACTTTGAGTGATAATGATGTATTAATGCATGTTCATTGATTGTAACGAATGTCCCACCTTAGTGCAGGATGTGGAAAGTGAGGGAGGCTGTGCAAGTGTGGTGGGAGGGGGTCTACGGGGAATTTCTGTTCTTTCCACTCAATTTTGCTGTGAATCCAAAACTGCTCTAAAAAATAGTCATCAAAAAATGGAATCACACAGAAATTCTGGAATTCAAAAGTCCAATAACTGAAGTGAAAAAAAACCCCTCACTAGGAAGGTTCAACATCAGATTTGAGTAGGCAGAACAAAGGATCAGTGAACCAGAAGATAAGACAATTGAAATTATTTAGTCTGAGATGAAGAAATAAAAAAAAAAAAAAAGGAGGAGAGCCAGCCTTGATGGCCTAGTGGTGGAAATTTAGCATGCTCCACTTCAGTGGCCCAGGTTCAGTTCCCAGGTGTGGAACCACACTACCAACCCATCAGTTGCCATGCTATGGTGGTGGCTCACATAGGAGAACTAGAAGGACCTACAACTAGAATATACAACTGGGGCTTGGGGAGGGGAAAAAAAGAGGAAATTGGCAACAGATGTGAGCTTAGGCCAAATCTTTCCCAGAAAAAAAAAGACTGAGGAAAAATGAACAGAACATGAAGGACTTGTGGGACCCCATCAATGTGCCACCACATGCTTATAGGAGTTCCAGAAAGCAAAGAGAAAGAGAGAATGGGACATAAAAAAATATTTGAAGAAATAATGGCCAAAATGTTCCTAAATCTTAAGAACGATACGAACATACATGTTCAAGAAGCTCAATGAACTCCAAGCAGAATAAACTCAAAGAGACCCACACCAAGACACATTATAGTAAAATCTTCAAAACCCA